AGAACAGATTTATTTTAATAACTACTTCAAATATACATTGATAACTCTGGCACACAGAAGAAAGTGATGAAAGGCACAATTAACATGACCCATATCAGGTTTCCAAATGTAGCAGCAAGTTTTTAAACCCCATCTCTAGAAGTCCAGTGGGTATTATTACATCCACCATTATAAGTGGCAGGTCAATGACCAGGGAAAGTACAAGTTTAGTTTGGCTACAAGGGTGGGCTTGTGGCAATGCCTGCAGCTCTGGAGTCCACAAAGCAGCAGTATAAACTCACCATCACAAACAATACCTTCTGGAAAAATGAAGATGACAGCTTTCCAAAGCAGTGTTCAGTATGAAACATGAGCACTAGGATTCAGTTTCCAAAACACCACAAGAGTACAACTGGTCACCATAAGACTTAATATTTCAATACTAGAATTTTATCTCTAAGGAAAAACTATATTTATCTTAAAATACCAAATATGCTGGCAGTGCATCTTACAGTACTGTGTGTTTCAGCCACTGTTAAGGCTTGAAGAAAATCGTGTTCCCCTGTCAGCAGACACTGAGCAAGGTTCCCCTTTTAACAAAGAAAGCACTGAACTGCTGATCCATGGAAGGCGAAAGATTCCTGTCAGGACCTGCTCCCACCTAGGCTAACAGCACAAGCTCCCGTCCTGCAGGCAGCTGCAGCCTAACTGCACCTTTTCCCCAACAGGAATCCTGGCACCAGCAATCACCCACTTCAGTTCAACAGTAAAAATACTTCATATTTAGTGCCCTATGGTGCAATGCTATTGAAATCAATGAAGGACTCGGGGCCTGTGTACTTTCCCTTTAGAGATGCCAAAGTTTGTCCCCTTGAAAGAAGGCTTCATCATTCTCAAAATTAAGCTACTTCAAGTTCCAGCTGCTCACAGTAGAAATCGGCAAAACCCTTAAGAGACCACTTAGGTCAGAAAAGTGACACTCAAAAAATAATTCATCACGTCTGTGTAGGGTGTGTTTTTTACATCAGCAATCAATGCTAGCCTGAAAACACCAGTTCTTTAATAGCCTTTCAGCATTATGCTGGTGATTGTAAAGATGATTTAAAAACATGAGTTTTTTCCCTTTCTACTATACGTATTTGCTTTAGCTTTTTCAGAATACATTCTCCCTAGCAAGAACAAATATAGAACCTAGGGTTAATTTATTTCAGGGGAGCAAGGTTTGAAGAGATTTCATCCTTCCCCCCGTCCCCAAAATTAATATTTTCCAAGTTGGAAACAAACCGCAAATTACTACAATACTTCATTTGGAGCAAATATTTCCAACAAAAACTAAGAGATTACTGAAATTATAATATACTTGTGAAAAAAAATAAAGGAAAAATGTTACACAGTTGTTCAATTTTGCCAGACTAATCACAGTCCAGCTCATTCAAGGTAATGTATATTAGATGGGTAAAGTACAAATTGCTTTGCTCTATACTAGCTTTTGAAAGAGCTAGGCAAGCAGCAATACGACAGAAGAGTCCAGTCTTTTTTTGGTCCACGAACCATGTTTATCTGTTTGACTTTTTCTAAGCCATCTTTCAGTTAAGAAAAAACAAATGTATCTATAAGAATATTTTGTATCAATCCGAATAAATGGTTGAGATGCCTCCAAAACAGAAAGTCTTATACGGTGCTTTAAAAACACTATTTAATTAAAAAAAAATTAGAAGTGCTAATTTGGGATCACATCCTTTTTTCACATTATTTACAAAGTTTTCAGTAGGGCTACCCACTGAATGAGCAAAGCAAGATTATACTGACAGTCTTGTATTTCCTTGGTCCAGAGGAATCCTGACCCACTCAGAAAAGCCAGTGCTCATACCCGCTGGTCTGTCTGACATCCAGTATAAGAAGTTAAGAGTAATTTGCCCAGATAATGAAAGTTTCTGGTGATGCCTTTGGTCTCCCAAAAGTTCTCTTTTCTAAAGTTTTAAAGAAGGAGCTAATAGGACAACACAATTTATTTTGAAACACCTCCCATTGTTTGATCACTATAAGATTCAGCGGCCTAGAGGGGATTTTTAAAGCCACAACAAAAATAACTTGAAATTAAATAGATGTAGGAAAAAACTCCCAAGAATCAGGTAAGAGGTTTAAGACGTCAAGAGGAACTCTTGTGGTAATACTGTAAGTTACAGCTGAGATGTGTAAAAGACACAAGCCCTGGAGTATACCCAGTCATAAAAAGTGCCCAAGCTAATGACTGTTGAGCCAAACAGCCAAAGCAGTCTTACTTCACCATAATTACAGGAAGGAGACTTGCAACACTTTAGCCTGACTTAGGGATTGGAATTTGAGAGGTAGAAAGCCCAAAATAGTTGTCTGCAGAGATAATTAGATAGAATATATTTTCGCTGCTTTTTCTATATCTCAGCAAAATTTCCAAGCAAATTTGCAGCACTGTCTGATTATACCAGGTCCAAATTTACCTGAATCTATAAAATGTAATTTGTATTAAAGTGACACATTTATTTAGAGAGCATATAAGCTCAGGAACATTTAAAGTGTTAAAGCAGCCCAGAGTATTTCCCACTCCTGCTAGTACAATGTAATAAAAATGCAACAACTTTTAGAAAAAAACCCACGTATTTTACCAAACACTATTTAGTTGTCTTTGATAATTTCATCTTAACATTTTTGAAAACTAAATACACTGTTAGCCAGAGTCCTGCAATGAATGTGGTAAATGTTCTATATATTTAAATATATTAGCAACGATTCATCTTTACCGTGAAACATCAGGAACAGTGATGCTGTGAGAATAAGCACACAGCTTTCTTAAATAAGCGCTATCAGTAAACTTTTGAACTCATGGAAGAAGATGAAAGTCACTGTCACCAAAACTACTTATATTAAGAAACTGCAATCTAAATTGTAATAAATAGCTATAGGCTAAATTACTTGCATCATTCATTCACAGGCACAGCTGAGAAGAAAACCTAAATACTTTCTTAGACCTTTGCTGGCTAATATGATTAAAAGCCATTGTGTGGCAATAATTTGATGGCATGGCATTATACGTATAACAGGCTGGGCTGTGGCACAGTACGCCAGGTGCCCACAGGAGTCTGAGTCTTTTCAGCCACATTCCTAAATCCAAGAATAAATTTATGAGGCCAATGCTTAGCTTATGCCCACAGTCACTACGGGCAAGACAAGCTTTCAAAGTAACATTTTATTTACACCAGCTGATGCAATCAGAAAAAAGTAAACAAGGCCTGCCTAGTAGCTTTCTACTTCCACTTTCACCAGTCAGTCTGAACAGGTCTTATCTCTCCTCTGTGTACAAATCTCGTCTTCCTTGTGTCCTCAGACAACACAGCTAAACCAAAATGACTATGGTCTGTAGAAGTAGTTAAGCTCTTAAACTTGAATATTACTGAATGTCAAAGCTGTAACACAATTTTCCAACAAGGCAGAAAAAGACAGGTTGACACTATATCCCAGTGGTGATGGCTTTCAGCTTGCAGTGCTGGAGAGTCTGGTTTAGGCTCCTGCTTCTTGTAAATATGTCATGAAAAAGAGGCCAAATCTATTACTCGAACTGTCATGCTGGACATATGAATTCAAGATCCCCACTTTAGATTAGGGACCCCACAACAGGTATTGTGCATCTGTACCCTGACCACAACGATGCTGGGGATAATGGAGTTTTTTTCCTGCAGGGAAACCTGGGCCAGCTTTCCAGATATCAGTTCCAGGACACTGGTTCACAGCACAGCCAAGAATCCCCAAGCCAGGCTGAACGGCTCCCCCCAGTGTCAACCAGGCACTTCATTCCTATTAAAGAGAGAAATTTCTGCCTCTCCCTGACCATTTCTGACTGAGTAACTTAAATCTTCCCATGCCTATGTTCTTACACATAAGCACCAAAGCAGGGCTCTCAAGAGCAGTGGCAGCATTAGTACTGCACCAATTCCACTCTGGATGTAACCCAAACCACCTTCTGTTCCTGACTGAATTTCTGATTCATAGAATCATAGAATGGTTTGGGTTGGAAGGGACCCTTAAAGATCATCTAGTTCCAATCCCCCCTGCCACAGGCAGGGACACCCTCCACTAGACCAAGTTTTTCAGAGCCTCATCCAGCCTGGCCTTGAACATATCCAGGGATGGGGCATCCACAGCTTCTCTGGGCAACCTGTGCCAGTGCCTCACCACTCTCACAGGAAAAAATTTCTTCCTAGTATCCAATTTAAATCTGCCCTCTTTCAGCTTAAAGCTTGTTACCCCTCATCCTCTCACTACACTCCCTGATAAGGAGTCCCTCCCCATCTCTCCTGTAGCCCCCTTCAGGTACTGGAAGGCTGCTATAAGGTCTCCCTGGAGCATTCTCTTCTCCAGGCTGAACAACCCCAACTCTCTCAACCTGTCCTCATAGGGGAGGTGCTCCAGCCCTCTGACCATCTTTCATGGCTCTTCTCTGGACTCGCTCTAACAGGTCCATGCCCTTCTTATGCTGGGGACCCCACAGCTGGACGCAGTACTGCAGCTGGCGTCTCACGAGAGTGGAGTAGAGGGGGAGAATCACTTCCCTCAACCTGCTGGTCACGCTTCTTTTGATGCAGCCCAAGACACAGTTGGCTTTCTAGGCTACAAGTGCACACTGCTGGGTTCATTTAAGATCACTGTTGTTTCCCTTGAAATGAAAAGGCAGGGTACTAACTTGAAGCCAAATTCAGTTCCTATTAAAAGTTAGTGCGAGTTACTACACTGATCCTTAAAGGAGTCAAACCTTGTTCTTGAACAACGGAAGGAAATAAAAAACCCCCCTAGCTACTCACTGTCATGCATTAAAATAAACACTGCAATAACAGAACTTTTTAAAAGAAGACCTCTGTAGATCAAATGTATCTAATTACTATGAATTCCTTTGATAAAAGTTAACCTCTGTCACTCCAAAGCAAAGCCGGAGAATGATTTTTTTCAATACAGAAAATGAATTTGTCCAGGCTAGGAAATGTCTACAAAGATTTTTAGAAAGAACTGTTTGGAATTGAAAAAATTCTTCTAAAATGCAATGGATTCAGTCTAAAATCACTGCAGATTTAGTACGTAATATGAAACAAAACATTTCAGCATGCTTTTTATGTGGCTACAAACTGTACATAGTGGAGTTTCATAGCCCCAAAGAATAATGCTCTTCAGAACTCTGTTAATGCCTCTGAACATCATTCAGATTCTGTATACAAAACTATGTAATTTAGAAACTTAATCTATTTTTTTTAAACATGGCAGTACATTTGAAATATGGTATTAATTTATGTTTGCATCTCCAAAGAAAAATGTAGAAAGGTAACTTAAACTAGAGAATTCATAAAAAAACCTATATCAATTCAAAATTTTACTGCATAAAAATATGTACTTTTCAAATTATTTTAATAAATTAAATATCCCTAACATTTTTAATATATATCCCTGACAGTCTATAAAAGAGGGTTCTTGTTATAGAAAATAAATGGAACTCTGAAAGTACCCCCTTCATAAAACATATTTAACAATAATATTTTTTCTTCTTCTTCAAGGAATGTAACAATATGTACAACCTCTCTATATTACTATACTATCAAAATAGTACAGGTTAAGCGTAGCAGGGTTCTGTAACCATAAGATGGTCAAGTCACATTAAAGTGGAGGACAACTTAGGCCTCAGACGAAGGTTATCAGTGTGGAGTATCAGCTTCTGGATGGATCAGCTAAGAAGGGGTAAATACAATCTTCTCATCTACAGTAGATTTCACAAGAGGTAGAGTTCAAGTGAAAATAAAATAAATTTGGAATAAGGTGCATGCTCAGTATTTTCAATTCGTGACTTGCTAAGGATGTCAGATTTTATAGGAAAAGTTTTCAAGGATTCTTTCTTTTTCCTCTAAAGCAGATCTCCATGATCAGTTTGTAAGCTTTTTAATATGAATCTGAAATAGAGAATTAGAAAAAAATAAGTCACATTTTAGGGTATTACACAGTAATAAGAGGTAACTATTTTCAGCATTAACAAAAATTCTGAGCTTCAACACATTGACAGAATGAAGAAATCTCACATTTGCCAGTTTTATTTTTAAAATATTATACTGCCTCTCACCTCATTCAGAATTGCCCAGACTGCTGAATTTTGTATCACTGAAAGCCGGAATGATGAAATAGGGTTTAGGCTGGGGTCAACTGTTCCTTCAGCTATACCATTTTCAAATTTCCCTGCAAAAGAAGCAAAATTATATCCTCTATTAACTCCTGTGCAACAAACTAAAGTACAAAATCTGTGTCCAGTAAAATGTATCTGTAGTATCACAATTCACACATGAAGCCTATTGCTGGTCTCCAAAACAAAAGACATTCAGCAATTTTTTATATCAGATTCAGCTTTGCAGCAGCAAACAAGATGGGGTATATCATCAGAGCGCAGCGATCTGAACAGGATTACACGCAAGAATAAAAACTTTGGAACTGTCTGGAGGTATGAGCACCTCAAACTCTGGGAAGATTTTGCCACAGATTTTCATTCAATATCATGGAACTAAACAAGAAGCCCCTGGCTTATGTGTTTTCAAGGAGGATTAAGGACAAGGGATATCATTCATGTATTCCTATTTAAAGGATCTTTAAAGGATGAATAAGAATCCAATTTAAAAGCCCAATTAGACTTTACACTTAGACTACATATACAGCAACTGCAGTTCATTAAGATGAAAAAAAACATGCTTTCATTATAATGGGGATGCCCAACCTATGTTCCGCAAGCTAAATACAATCCACAAGGAAGATTTCTCTTCCTTCACCACAGATATCCAGGCACCTTCCCCAAGAGCTACTTGGCCATGGAAATGCCAGTCTCATCCCATGATGAGACAGCTGATTGTCTGTAGGGTGGGTTCAAAGCACAACAGCTCACACAGACGCACCCGTGCAGTCACAGGACAGAAGAGGTGATCTTATGCAACCTGGAAATGCCTCTCCAATAATCTAGGTGATTGGTCCTGGCAGAGAAGTTGGATGTAGCTGCACTACAGCTACGAGTCACACTACATCTTTGTTTAGTACATCAGTCTCAGAAAAGAAATATTGGAAACAATATTAAGTAAAACCTACAAGGTCACGTACCTGAAAATGAATGATCAAAACACAGTGTTAGGTTTGTTTTGGTTATAATGAAAATGTCTTAACTGTTGCAATAGTAACAATACACATTTCTTTCCACTGTCACATACCTATCCTGAAGTAACCATCCTCTAAGCGTTTGTCTTTGGTTTCTTTGCTTAATATCAGTTCTTCATTCTATAACAACAAAGCATAAATGAGGTTATTTATCTTGACATATGACTTTGCCAAGGAAAGACAAATGTGTGTGCATTCTTGTTTTATATTCAGCGTCCATCTTTTCTAAATAATTATGAACCAGACTAGGATAGTTATTTATAGCCTTAGACAAGCCAACACACACAAAAAAAGAAAAAGCAGCAGTGTTCCAGAACTGAATGGTATTTGTCTTCAAAGTAGAAAAAAAAAAAGTACTTTAAGTGCCCCACGTAACTTGCATGGTAACTGCCATGTGAACAGAACACGTAGCAGATACTGGCACACACAGCAGAAGAAAAGCAAAGACATGATCTTACCTTCTTTTCCTAAATGGTTGAACTAGAGATTTCTCTCAGGACAAATGAAAATTACCGCTTACTTTTTGATGTAAGAATTTGGGTGAGATGAAAAGCCATTAAATCAACAAGTGAAGCATTGCAATTACCCCTGCCTCACAAAAAAGGGATCGGTATCAATAAGCTTCTTAAATAAGCACAAAAAAATTAAATTGTAGACCATAGTTTCAAAAAGAGCTGGAAAATTACAACCAGAATCACATGATCCAATATGAAAAGACCCACTGTAAACATTTCCTAGGAATCAACTAAAAATTCTTGACAAAACAGGAGATTAAATCCATACGCTTTTTAAAAAATTCCTATTTTTAAGGGAGGCTGCTGAAAAAGTAGTGGAGTTTCTTGGTTTGGGGTGGATGGGGCTGGTGGTTTTTCTGTTTGGTTTGGGTTTGGTGTTTTTTGGGGTTTTGAGGTTGGGGTTTTTTTTGAGTGTGTTGCTTGAGTCCCAGACAAATCTAGTCTAGGGGCACTCTGGTTTCTAAGGGTTGTTTTTTGTTTTTCTGAATTCTGCTTAGGAAGGATCAGACTTGTAGCATCTGAATGGGCTTCCAGCTCTACTGAAGTCCATGGTGGAGAAATAGTTCCCTCAGGAGAGTTCCTATCATTCTGCAGCTGCTGTCCTTGTATTGGTGACATTTTCTGCTGACACCAGTGGCTTGGGAACAGGCCAGATGCAGAATTTCCTGTTCATCTTTCCACAAATTGTGTCAATAGCAATAGAAGCTCAGTAGCATTACTTCCTTAAGGGATACTCCTGTTTGAGGGACACTTCACAGCTGAGTGTAGCCAAAAAAAACCAAAGAGATGCTTGATGCACATTTTTTCTCCTTATCTTGTGCATTCTTATGGTGTCTTGAGCCCAGATTAAGTGAGGGCTGCTGCTGTTTTTGTGGTTGAATATATTTCCAAAGATCTTGAGAAACAAACCCCATAAATCTTATAATATAATATAATGTAATATAATATCCCACATATCGTGTTGCGTAATTAGAATCAAACTGACAAACTTCTTTCTAGGGGTGCGGGTGGTCAGAGTTTCCTATTTTTGCTCACTCCCAGGAAGGCAGACTGCAAGAATGGAGAAGTGAACTCCTCTATGATCTTTTTTTTTTTTTTTTTAAGAAAAAAGAGATTCAGCATATGGTAATTTAGGCACACATTTCAAGATACCTAGACCAGGTGTATGGGAGAAGATAGAAATACTTCGCTATTTTAATACTAAATAAAATAAACTTCTCTGAAGTAATATCTTAATCCTCTCCCAGAGTTTTGTGACATAAATGGTTAGCTATGATATCCAGTCGAAGAAAAAGAACTCATACCATCTTTTTCTTTAGATAGTGTAGTGCACTCCTGAGATAAAACTCAGACTGATTTATGGAAAAAAAAAAAAAATCAGTAATCAGGAGGAAGGAACGCATTTGGTTTAAGAGTCCAGATATTTCAACACCTAGTAAGGTTTGGATGTGTGTCAATTCCTGAACCAAGACTTTTTTACTAAGTCAAAAAGCAGATTGACTTAGCTTTCCCATTTTCCAAAATACACAGGAGAGGGAAGTTTCTTAATTTTTTTGTTTTAAATAGTAGCAGTGAATTGGAAGAAAATGAGCTTGTTCAACTCCAAATTACCAACAGCACTTGGAGCACACTGTGCTCTGAATGAACATCTGAATAGCTACAATAGTCTTCTGTGAATAGATACAATTTTTACAAGTATGAGAGCATCAGAGCATCAAGATCCTACAGTTAAAAGCAGCAGCATTCATGCCTCCCTCACCCTGTTAAAAAAGTCAATAAAATCAAGAGGTTTTGTTTTGTCCTATAATGGAGAAGACTCAAATCAATAAATTAATACCTGAAAAGGCAAAACTTCCACAGTTGTGTTTAGAAGTATGTCTCCTGGATGCTCTGGATTGCCACTGTGAAACAAGTACCTATAAATGAAAAGGGAAAAATAAATCAGTCTACATACATCAGTCAGAATTAGCTAAATTACTATCTTACATGTTAATTGTCACACTACAGATGTTACAGTGATAAACATAAGTTTTATATTGGACCTACATCAGCTGGCGATAAGAAATGAAAGATGGTTTCACATACTACTGTAATTGAAAGGGCTACAGTTTTGCTTTTTTTTTAAAGAGTAGTTGGGCAATATTTTACTTAGAAAGGTAGTTTCCATAATCTGATCTTGACAGATTGCATTATACAAAGTGACAAACACTGTAGTCATTATTGCCTGGCATGCACTGGTATCACTGCCAGGAGCAGGAGCCCTGCCTTCCTTCAGCCTCTCCCCATCGCTCGGCACCACGCACCGCCCCTTTCTTCCTTGTTCCCACAGCACAAACTCTGCAGATCCATTCTGAACCAGTTCTGGGAACCTATCCAAGTCAACACTCTGCCAGGCCAGTTCTCCCCAAGACCAGCTCACCACTCTGATTCACTGCAAAGTCTCATTAATGACTGTGCCAGGAATTCTCAACCTGTATCCACACCCTTAATGTTACTTGAATTCAAACTTCTATTCCAAAGATGGATTTATTTTTTATTTAAACAAAAGCATACATTTTTTGAAATGTATACACACACAGAAGAGGATCTTTTTTTATATACCTGTACAAAGTCCCTGTTACCCTCATTCAGTTGTGCATTTAATGACTTTTTTTGTTTAATGGAACAGATTAAATATGCTTAAAACTGTATCAAAACCATCCCAATACATATCAAGCAGTAAAGTGCAAATGTTCAAATTCTAGCTGCCCACTCTCGAACAGCTTTTGCAGTACTATGGACATGTAGATACTGTTACAAAAGACACAGTTTAATTCCCCTTTCTTTATATATAACACTAATTTCATATTCTTTTGAATACATAGGATGTAAACACCTAACAGTATTTTCTACCACTAGGTGGTATCAATGCTTGAAAAAGTGTTCCTTACTTACCATTTTTTTCTGGTGGACCACAGAGTTTATTCACATTACTGTCAAAAACTACCAAGATACTACACCAACTCAGATGCCACTTTTAACAAGCCTACTTTACTTTTAATACGTTTAAATGAATATGTAAAAATCTATCAACATACTTCAAACCTCTCTTCAGTTGGAACTTGGAGAAATTAACAGTAAGCACCATCTTCGACATTAAATACATCACCAGCCAGGTGATGGCAAAATTAGTGACAAAATTAGTTCAGAAATTATCACTTGATTAAAATTACAAACATTAGCTCAATTTGCAATTTATTAAGACATAATTGTAGATGTAAATTCCAGTTGTCTTTATCCAATATGTCTGAAGCCAAGTAAGTACTTGCCATTAATCCATAGTTCATAGCTACAAGACAAGTAGAAGAAAATAGAGCTCTCTGACTCTGACTTAGAAATGTCCGTGATCCCAAAATGACAGAAGTAATTTAAAATAATATGCACACACTTATGTTAACATTTCTGTTATAAAGGCTCAGAAAAGGAGTAAAACCACACACTATGATATAATAAAGCTACATTGATTTCTGTTGCACTTGTTTCAGCAGAACTGCACAGATTGATCTGCAAACCAAATCTGGATTCAGTAAGCTTCAGCATTGTGTGTGCTTCAAAAACAATAATTTCCCCACTGTAGTTTAATGTACAGGTTAGTCAATTCTGAAGTACACAAACTACCTAAAACAACCACAGTTGTTCCAAGAAAAATCTTGTGACTTTTTCTAAACCATTAATGACATCCAAAAAACTCCAAAGACTTAACTACCCTTTCTAGGAAGATTTATTTATTGTTCATTTCAATAATAAGCAAAACAAAACTCTTGACAAAGCTGACCAGAAGACTAAAAGTATATTCTGCTGTCTTCTGACTTAGCAGATCCTTTAGTCTGTCAGATATCCTAATAATTACTGGGAATTTTTCTCTCATTTAAAACACTGAAAATTTGAAGGAGGCTTATTACAAAATGCAAGTGATCAACACGCAGATCTAAGGTGCTGCCATCAAACACTCCAACCAAACCACAGCCACACTGCTTTTCCTTAGAGCTTATTTCTGAGAAGACACACCTAAAAAGCCACAAAGAAACTCCTTGTGATCTGTGATCACTGCTCTCAATGAATGATAATACTTTGGGATGTTTGGGTGGGGTTTTTCTCAGGAGGTGGGCAGGGGGGAAGTGGTGATGGTGGGTTATTTTTCTGATGGGGGGGTTGGGGGTAGAGGGGGGGTGCTTTTTGGTTTTTTTTTTTTGATTTGGGTTTTGGTTGGTTGTTTTTAAAAACAACCCTGCAACCATACAACCATAGCCAACCATTTCTCCTACTGTGCTAATCAACTTTTGACACTGAAGTGCAGTTTCTTCCCCCCAGCACTTATCACTCTATTAGGGCAATGCACTCAAAAGTTGGCACAAAGCCAAAACAATTTATGGAAGTAATTAATAAAATCTGATTTCCATGTAATCAAACCCACATTTTCAGTACTTTTTCTATAACTATCTCTCTACCCATATGCACAAACATATATAACACATGCATCTGTCACATCTTATTTGCAATCATGTTTAGAAAGGAAGGGAAATTTTTATATCTGAGCCTTGCATGAACACTTGACAGGTAACACCT